AAAACTGAGCACCTGGGACATGGGGGCAACATTGACTTCTGGTTGCCATGCAATTGAAATCACGGCTTCCAGCTGCAGCCACTTTTTTCACCTCCCCCTGTCCCACCTGTGCCACAAGTCGGCTCTCAAGGCAATTGCGTTGTTTGCCCTGCCCTAGTTACTCTACTGCCAAAAAATTACTAAACTGCTCTGCAGCATTCCTGAAGTAGGTCACTGCATCCCCTCTTCCAAGTTTCTCATCTCAAATGAGATATTTTTGAAAAATAAATAATCAGAAGGAACGCAATTACCCTTTTTACTTGAACCTAAAATGAGGTGCCCTCCCCCCAGCCCCCAAACAACATAGGGAAAAAAGCCCTTTCTCTTAGATTTGCATACAAAGCCAGTGGGGGCAGGTGGCTGCTGTGGCTCTGACTTTGGCCGTGAGCCCAGGTCAGGGCCAAAGTCAAACCTACAGCAACTGCCTGCCTCTCACTCCATTTGTCTTGAAGCTTCTTCCCTCCCCTGCCCACTTTGCCTCCCCTTACTGTGAGGCACAGCTTGGCTCCCTCTTGGACTGGATTTTCTCCCAGACATGGAGCACATGGAAACTGCTTGGTCAGTCAGCAGTGCTGCTGCTGCTGCATGGTCCAGTAAGAGCTGTGCTTCCATGTGCTGTGCTCCAGGGAGGGCATAGAGCCTGAGCTGTTTCTGACAGTGGGGGCAGGGGGAAAGGGCAGAGACTGGGGAGCTGGGGTCAGGGAAAGGCAGAGGCTGTGGGGAGCTGGTGGTGGGAGGGTGCAGGTGGCAGGAGGGGCAGGAAGGCTGCAGGGGGAAGAAAGCGGGGGGGGGCAGAAGGCAAGGGGTCCACCTGATTCCTGCCAGCCTGTAGCAGTGGAGGGAGAGGGAAAACAAATTCAAGACAACCCTTAAATAATTAGATTTTGTACCTGGAAAATTATAACACGTTTACAACTTTTCCATATATAGAATATAAATATTGGGGGAGGGGGGTCATCTTAAATTCAAGTAAATATGGTCTTTAAAATATAATATTGACCCAAAATTGACAACAGTATATTAGATTGTGTCTCATTAACTGAGTCTTCAAACATCAAGAACAATCAATTATTATAGGTCAACTCTGTTCTTTATAGCTCACTCTAAGGATAATGAACTTATCAAAAACAAATCAACAAATGTTGTTCAGAATAGGAAGGTATGGAGAAAAACTAGCTGAGATGAGCCATTGCTATATTCTCTGAAATTATTACTCATTGCAATAACTTCCTAGTTATGCTGGATACATATAGTGTTTGCTTCTTAATGAAACATAAAGTCTAGTTTACAAGTCCATTATACTCTGCAACCTGCCCACTTGAAAAATGATCTGTCCATATAAGTCTTGCTGCCTTGATTAGAATGTTTTGTTCTAATTTTATTGCTTTGCTTAGGAACTTTTAGTTTCTGTTGGTTCCTAAAATCCTGTTTTCCAGTAGTAGCAGAACAGTGGTCATTGAAGACGTCACATCCAGACTTCTCCTCTATAACAGTCTGCAAGAATTTCAGGGCATAGCCTCAGTTTACCTGTTTAATCAAATTTTAATTAATTGCCATTAGACTAGGATTACAGGTCAATATTGGACACAGAATGAGTTTGTAATTTTAATAAATCATCCATAGCGCTTTTCCCACATCATGTGCGTGTGGGTCCCTCCTGCATGACACCTCACCTCACGTGCAGCTCCTTGCAGGCTCCCTTGTGGCACTGCACTGCACATATGCTCTGGGTTGCTGGCTTGTTGCATTGCTCCACCACTTGGGGAAGAGGCATGCAGCAGAAGCCTGGGGAGGGTGGGGAAGCCCTGAGAGACTGCTCTGGCTGCAGCAGAAGCTGGAAAGGGACAGTGGTGACCAAATGGGGCCAGGGGGCTACATATGCAGCCTTCAGTCTGCCAGTTGGACAGCCCTGATCTAAACAATTGCATTTTTAAAAAGTCAAAGCTATCTTTGTTCCTAATATGCATTGGATGCTAAAATGTTTGATGGCTCTCATTAGCAGTCTGTGACATATCCAGAATTGTTTTGTTAATCCAAGGATTGTTCATGGTCAGCATTATTTAGTTATTTCTAACTAAAGTGACACTTCATAAAAATAGCAAATGGTTGGCAACTAATGGCCTCTGAATTCTATTTCTAGCTCTAGTGTCTATTTCGGTTCCTCTTGGTTGCTTTTCTTCTAACAAATCAAATTTAGGATTGCAGCAGGAAATTTAGATTTAACCTCAAGAGTCAATGTTTTGTCTCATATCTGCTCTAATGTGATGCAGATGTTGGGACTGTTGTATATAACTCAAGATTTTATTGAACTAGCCCTCCTGGCTTAATAGAAAACATAGCAAACTTCAGTGAACATTAAACACAGACAATTCTGAGGACGGCAATCTTGAGCACATATATAAATATATTTACAAAATGCTTGAGATTTTTTTTTTCAAACTGCAAGTCCCTCAGCTGTTCTGTATGAATGAGGAAGGGGAGAAGAAAGTGAGGGTTAACTAAAATGTAAAAAAAAAAAAGACAAGAAAAGACCTCAAAGGATTTTCAGGCTGATTTTTTCCCTGTTTTTTATGTTAATAATTTGGCAGTTGTTAGCAAATTTATGGGCTGTTCTGAGTATTTTTTAAACATCAGATGCATCATCCCTTATCTTGAACCCTATTCTAGTTTTCCCTTTTTAGTTAGTTTATGAGGGGCTAAATAACTTATTGATGAACACCAAAATATTTTGAGCTAACAAAACACTGTACTGTGCCATGTGAACCCCAAAACACACTAACTTTAAATTGTTCCATCACAACTTTATTTTTACTGAATCATGAATTTTCTTATTTGTAAAATGGTATTAAAAACTGCTGTTATTTTGTGGAACCAGTTAAGCATCATACTGGCTCATAATTAAGATATTGCAAAATGTAAGGCTATAAACCAAAGTTACATCACCAGAGGGTGCTCTTCCTCCCCACAACACAATACTAATCTTGTTATATCAGCTTCATTTTAAATTTCTGCAATCTATGCAGTGCAATCTTCAGGCAAAAAATAGATTGGATAGAAAGCACTTGATAGCCAATCAGAAAGGAAGAAAGGAAGACAGAGGTGTACAGAAAAATTATGTCACAGCAGTAGTGCAGATATCTACTTACTATCATGATGACCAATATTGTTTCCTTATGCTCCTTTTGTCTAGCTTTATCCCTCTGTTGACTCTTGTCTTAACCTCCAGACTAAATCTCTTTGGGGCAGGGATTTTTTACTACAATAGCATTTTGGTCATGACTATGATTCCTGGCTGCTAAGGTACACTAATAATAAGAATAGGAATAAGAATAATATGGATGTTAGCATAGTACAAGAGAATCCCCAATTCCTGTCCTGTCCTGTAATTCTAAGATTCAAAGAAAGTTAAAGTGTCAAAAAATCACTTCTCTTTTCAAATAAGGGAATATACAAAATTACAATCACGTAATTACAATATTGTGAGTCGATCATTTATAATCACTAGCCCTGGAGTGAAATCATTCAATAGAATCCTTGCATATTAAACTATAAGCCTAGTATTCCCCTATTAATCAAACTGATCTGAGTAATGAATTTGTCTGTGTTTGTGGTTAATTGTCTTTCCCTGTCTTTTCCATCTGTCTGCTTCTTGTGGTATGTTAATCTGTTACTGCAGGAATGTATAAAACCTAGAAACACTGGGACCTGATCTCAGCTGGAGAATCAAAGATACTACTGTAATGCAAATAATACATGTTATTGAACTGCAGAGAAATCTTTAGTTATGACGTTGACATCAGTGCATTTTCTGCCCTTAATGCCTCAAAATGTCTGCTGCTTGTCTTATAATAGAAGAAAATCTATATGGTTAGCCATTTACAGAAGCATCACTTAATAAAATAATAATATTGATGGTTACATTACTGCAACCAGCCTTGACCATCAGATTACATACCCAGTATGGAATTATTAAATCATAAAAATGCACAATAGTTCTGTTATCATAAGAGTAAAGATTTGATGCCATCAATTCAGCATGACCATAAATCATCACATTTAAATCTCGTTTCTTTCCAGGCTTAAGTATAGTTCTTTCCTTTCCGCAGACACTATACAACATTTACAAGTAAGTGCATTAACCTAAGTGCTTTACCATTCTACTTAAAACATTGCATTTAATGGTTTCCTCATATGAGACATAACTGTTTGGAACATTTGAAAAACCTTTGTTTCTTTCAGCCAACTACTGGACTACTAACGTAGTGTATGTTTTTCTGTGTCAAGTTTTCAGAGTCCGTGACACTGGTTTCTTTTCATGTTTGTAATTCTTCCAGTTTCCCTTTCACTTTCAGTCTTTCAGACACACAGTCTAGCTCATTTCCTCTTTGTAAGTGTTTTTCACAAGGTACATTAAATAGATTCATTCTGTTGATTAACAATACTTTATTCAAATGTGCTCATAGTTTCCTTTAATGCTATTTATTGGCTACTAAAAGTAGATCAGTACAGGTGATTACCTTAAACCAGTTTATCCTTTTCCAAATCTCTTAAAACTCCTCTCCATAAAACATGCAGAAAACTCTGGTCAGGTAAAGGCTGGGCAAGTTGTAACTTGTGATTATTGTTGATTGGCTTATTACACTTATGGATGGTACACACGCTATCCAGGGTAGTTACTCTACCCTGAAAAAGCCGTTTTCTGTTATATTTTCCTCTTTTTTATTTATTTCATGCCCTGCCCCCCCCTTTGTGCATCTGCTTTTTCAGACTCTAACCTCTTTGCTGGAACTATAACTAGGGATCTACTTAAAACACATGGAGGAGAAGTAAAATATGCAGGTTGCTTGTGGCACCTGGCACCATTTTTGTCGTCTATTTGTGGCAACTCCCTCCCTCTACCCCCACTTGGCTGATTGGCCAAGGGTCCCTGGAAGCCCTGCCCCTCACTGCTGATTGATGGAAAGGGCTGTCTTTCATGTGGCTCCACTCCTTGCTGGTGATAGGCAGAGAGGGCTCCCCTTGATGTGGTCCCACCTCTTGCTGTCACTGCTGATTGGCAAAGCGGGGCAGGCCCAAACAAAAGGCAGCCCTCTTTGTCAATCAGCAGTGGAGGGAAGAGAGGATGGCTGCCATTTTGGCTGCTCCTCTTCATGCTAGTGGTTTCTTCTCCACCCCAGTGGGCTGGGAGGCTGACCTGCAGCAGCCAGTGCCTTCCACTGTGGAACCATTTTAATTTTTAGTAAGTTTCTTTTCCTTCCCCATGATTCCATGCAAAATCATGTGGTACAGCAGTTCTCACAGTAATTGTAGAAACAGCCTTTTTTGGTGGTTTCTGTGAAAATTGTAAAATTACAAGTTGAGTAGATCCCCGACTGTAACCTGCCAATGTTAAGAGCAACTTGGTAAACGCCTATAGGCATCAGTGGGCACGTCTACATGTGCACCATTACTGTGCAATAACTTCCCATTCTGCACAATAACTATGATGACTTACACCTACTCGGGAGTAAATTTGTTACTTGTGAGTAATTACTACATAGTAATTACTCTCTTAGCACAACCAGGGCTGTTAGAATCATTTACAAAGGTGCACACAACTTCTGGGGACAGACATAGGCAGGTTCTGAGCCTCCCGCATCCACCCATACATGATCTTGCTGAGCTGCTGAAGCATGCTACCCACCCTAAAATATGATGTCTATCACCTGCATGGTGGGCCAGACCAGGTAGGATTAAGTTCCCCACAGCACAGTTCATAGATTCATAGATTGTAGAGTCGGGAGGGACCACAATGGATCATCGTGTCTGACCCCCTGCCCCTGGCAGGAAGGAGGACCAAAGTCATATGACCACAAGCCTCCTCTTGAAGACCTCCAAGTAAGGTAATAGTACCACCTCTCTTGGAAGCCCATTTCAGATTCTGGCTACCCTTACTATAAAAAATGTCTTCTTAATGTCTAACCTGAACCTACTGTCCACTAGTTTGCACCCATTATTCCTAGTTACTCCTAGGGGTGCTCTGGTAAATAGCACATCTCTAATTCCCTGTTGTCCTCCCTTGATAAACTTATAGGTGGCTACAAGGTCTCCCCTCAGACGTCTCTTGTGAAGGCTGAAGAGATCCAGATCCCTCAACCTCCCCTTGTAGGGTCTTTCACGGAGGCCACTAATCATGTGAGTGGCCCTCCTTTGAACCCTCTCCAGATTCTCCATGTCCTTCTTGAAATTCAGCGCCCAAAACTGGACACAGTACTCCAACTGTTGCCTGACCAATGCCACATAGAGGGGGAGCATCACCTCCCTCAATCTGTTGGTCACGCATCTGCTAATGCATGACAAGGTGCGACTGGCCTTGTTGATGGCTTCATTACACTGCTGGCTCATGTTCATCTTGGAGTCAAATATGACTCCAAGATCCCTCTCAGCCACTGAGCTGCTGAGGAGGTCATTTCCCAACCTATAGGTGTGCTGGGGATTCCTCCTCCCTAGGTGGAGTACCTTGCATTTATCTTTGTTGAATTGCATCCTATTTCATTCTGCTCATTGATCCAACCTGTCCAGATCGGCCTGTATCTGCTCCCTGCCCTCTGCTATGTTAACTCTGCCCCATAACTTGGTATCAGCTGCAAACTTGGAGAGGGTACTCTCCACACCCCCATCCAAATCGCTGATGAAGATATTAAATAACACCGATCCAAGGACTGAACCCTGCGGGACCCCACTGCCCACCTCCTTCCAGGCCGAGAACAACCCATCCACCACCAGTTCCCACTTGAGATGTCTTCAGTGACTGTCTAACTCTGTTCCATCCCCCAAATCATGCTGTACTATAAGACAGGGAAGGAAATTACACATAAACTGGTACAAGTTATCAGAAACCGGTTCAAATCTGTAATGCAGCAGAAGTTCAGTGCATATAAACCACTTTCAAAAGGGCCCAAACCAGTTTAAGCTAAACCTGGATGGATGTAGTATCAGACTCAACTGATTTAGGTTAAATAGGTTTACTGAACTTCTGTCCCAGATCTCCTTCAGAGTCAGGCTGTCTGCTCCAGCCAAGCAAGGGGGCATGCTCTAGCACGTCCTGGCTTCTGGCCTGGGCCGCTGCAGGCATGTGGCTGCTTTTCTGGAATCAAAACTAAATGTGTGTTCACTTGCTTATCAGTTCCATCTACACAGCTTAGGCTAACCTGCAAAGATTTAACCGATTCAGATTTCGGCTTTTTGACTATCTGTTCTTAACCCTAAAGTTCAACACGTGAGACAGGTGTTATTGGCACTGAAAAGGTGATGGTATTTGTTCCCTTCTTTCTCAGCACTTTCTTTCTTTTTCCTGTGCTTTAGGGCTTTTGCTGGTCAATAAGGGCCAGAAAGGAATACCTTTCCTTCCACCCACTCTATGAATACTACAGGGGGGAAGGTCAGGGAGGGACATTCCTCTTCTTTTAATCTATGGCATAGGGTCTCCTTAGTGTTTTGGGTATTGTGCCATGTAGTTGCAAGTGAAGCTTTAAAGTGGCAAATAGGGAGATTGTTTGGGTAAATGGTAGCCTGTGAACACAGGAACTGGGTTTAATGGCCCAAAAGTCTCCTTGTAGTCTATGTTCCTATGCTTTGTATTATATTTTTCTTTTTATGTAAACATGGGACGTGGTTTCTGCCTTCTGGCTTGAGAGACAATATGTATAATTTCTGTTTACAGGAGCTCCAAACTCCAATCCAGGCAGGTATCAATTCTTAAATCTGAGGGCATAGTCACAAATTGTCTGGTAATTCAGAATTGAGGTTTTCCAGCAAACCTGCCCTCTTTCCTAACTTGCAATAGGTTTGCAACTGCAAAATTTTTTGAAAGAGCAAAACATTTAACAGATTTTATGCAGCTGTTTTGTGTGTGTTTGCATTATATATATAATATACACATACATACACATGTATATACATACATACATGCATGCACACACTTGCACACACACACACACATATTCAGGCTTTATATATAATGTTGTTTTTTCTAATCATATATACAAATATATAACTTGATCATGCAATCCTTTGCAAGGCAAATCTTCCATAGACATACTGTCTACTCAATAATTCAGTCTAAATAAGAACATAGAACCAGTATATAACATCTATCCTTTTTCCTAACTCTGACAGCTAATAGTCAATTCCTTATGACTTCCAAAACATATTTGAAATTTCAAAAATCAAGAAAATGCAATATTATTTCTGTTTATTCTATTTTTTATAATTAAAAGGATATTTTGTAGGTCAATGGCATTTAGGTGATGATGCAGCCATACTCATTTAGCAGTATATCTACAACTAAACAACAATGCTGTTAGCCACAAATGTTAGTTTTACATTTACTACAGTGTGTGTGGATGTGCTGGCTGAAAACATCAGCAGCCTCACATTAAATTTCATCATCTAGATAAAAATTTTCACAGCAACTCCACATGCTATGCGATAAGATGACAATTGCATTAACATAGCTACCATAAGTCACTCCAGGTGAGCTTGCTATTTTTATTGCTAGATGTTGCTGAATAGGGGAAGCTGACCCAAAAATACGGGAATAAAACATATACTCCATCTAAAGTTACACAAATCTTCAAGAAGTTCTTTTAGAATGTTTAAGCATCTCATGTATTGCACAAGAGTGATAACATGAGACATGACTTGTTCTACTTCATAGAGCTTGTTCAAATTAGAGTTCTGCAGTTACTAGGGAAATGTAAATTAGGTAACATGTTTTGCTCCTTAAAACAGATAGTTCTGTTTATTTTCAGGGCATACTTAAAGAAAACACTGAAGAGAGATTCTTTCTATGATGGATGTGTACCTCTGGTGTCTCCTATCCTGCTGTTTACTCTCATTAGCATTTGGGTGACTTTATCTCCATGCGATATACTTGCAAAACAAACCAGAATGTTTTTCTGGATGCTTGGTGTTACTTTCTCAAATATTCTTGTAAGTATTTTGTGATTGTGAAGTGTATTTTGAGACAACTTTCTTTCAGCAAGACTGTTCTTTGATTTGATGCAAGTAAACCCAAGAGCAATGTTAAATCTCCTAGAAGCATTTGCACTGGTCTTTAGTTCTAGAATGAAGGATCAAAACAAAGCTTCCATATTGCAGTCTCCTTTATAAAAATGTATTGCATCAGTTGTTAGAAATGCTGAAGCTTATTCTAATTTTTAGTTTTTTACTATTTTGTACCATTTTCATATGGGCTCTTCTTCCAGGGTTTTATGAACAATGCTGAGGACTAGAAAAATGGCTATGTACCACTGTTGGGTGTGAAATTTTGAGTATGTAAGTGATATATAGGCCTCACCATAGCCTTGTGCTCAGTGGTGGTTTTCTCTTGGATCTCCATTGTTTTCTAGCACCTCCTTTCATTATCTTCTAATGTGGATTGTGTAAGAAATCTTTTTGAGATAGTGAAAGGGCTTACAATATAATAACAATGAACATTATTTTTAATACATAAGATCTCATTGAAATCATGGTGTGAGCCCCAATTCAAGTTAGTAATTGGCTTTATTGGAACTTAGATACATTCTGAAGTGGTTTGCTAAATCAGTGCCTTATGCTAAAAATTGACTGCCCTGAAACAAATCCTACAAAAATGTTGCATTTTTTGCAAAATAATACAGTTTAACATATATCAGCAAATAGTATAATACAATGCAAAAGGATACAAAGCTATTTCAGAGAATTATATGAGTAAACAATTAGCTTTATACTGTGATCTACAAAGGCACTAAGATATTGGACAGTCAGTAGCTTTTCTACACATTTTCAGTAGAACCTTGTTTCTGCAAAAATAAATATAGTTTAGTAGATTTAGTGATGCATATTTTACACTATATTTTATTGACACTATATTTTAATAATTTGTAGTGCACACTTTCATTATATAAGTTAATTTCAATCAAAGCTGTGATCACTGCAATATAGGGCATGCATTTCTTAACATGTAAAAACGAGTTACTTGGATTTACAAGCATTTAGTCTCATCAAAAGTACTGCCAATTTCAAGAGATCAGAAACCATGAGTAATTAGATTCTATTTTGTTCCTGCCCAAATGCAGTGCACACATGCGTGTGGGTGAGAGTGACGTTAGCACTGTCTGCTCTCAACCCCACATTTGCCCCTCCCCTACCCAGCAATTGATTCTGACTGAAATTTTGAAATAAATCATGTCTCTCCAGTCCCTGCATCAATTCTCCCATTCCCACCTGCCCAGCTCCCACCCAGGCCCATGTGAGTAAAAATGAGTGTCTATGTACAGCGCTCTTTTTCCAAGCATTCTTTTAAAATTATGGTCAGAACTGCAGTAGATCCATCATGGGGAATGCCAGCCTTGTTTTTCAAGGCTACAAATTTTGAGTGCAAAATTTTTCATTACATAATGTATACTTTTTCTAAGCAAGCAGTCTGTGCCCTAAAATGAAAAAAAACATGTATTTCGTATGATGAAGAAAGGTATTTCAGAGTTTGACAGAAGGCAGACTCAACTTAAACATCTCAACCAATCAAGAAGAACTGTGGCAGGATACATTTAAGGGGAAAAAAATTAGGCAAGCCAAAAATTTCTTGTTAGGCTGCAGTTTATCACAGCTATTCAGTGTAATGTGCGTTTCAAGGTCCTGTTTTACTAAAATAACCACTGCTGTATGAGAGTTACATGCATTAAACACGTTTAAGTAGTAGTTCACTACAATTTGAAGAGCAAAAAGCTACATTTCCTATTCCTCCAGTAGTTTTTACACACAGTCCTTTCAGAGACTGAGGAGATGTTGTCATAGTGATAGCTTTTCACCCTGAGCTTTGATACATCAGGTTTTCATTATCTATTTTGTAGACCACAAACTGCAGCCCACGCTTCTATACCTGCCAATATCTTGCACTTCTCATTCCTTTGACAACATGTTTATATGCCCAGTAGGTACATTTGGCTTAAAGCCAGCTTTCAAACTTGACCTCATAACAATTCAGTGTCAGAATGGACAGGGAAGACAGAGGCCTCCTGGGAAAAGAGAAAGAGAGATGCCTTTAACTGGAAGGTCTAAGAGACAGGTAGCAGAAAACCAAGGAAGGCCCAGAAAGAATCTGTCAGCATCCCTCTCTATATGGACAGCTCCTTTCTTTTCCTCCCTCCCTCTCACAATCTGTCCCATTGGCAGCCAGCACTAGCGTGGATTCTGGATGCCGGAAAGTGAGGCCGTTGAGCAAGCTCACTGTGCATGTGTCTGCTGGGCAAGACTGCAGCTCTCGTGCTGAGACTGGAGCTCTCTGTGGCAAAAGGGGATGTGGCCACACTCCTGCGCCCCTCTGGGTTCATCCCTGGCAGCCAGAGGCAGCATTGCCTTTTGAAGCCACACCATTTACCCTAAGTAGCGATTCTCTTGATCTGAAACAAAACCCCCCTGAGAAATATCCAGGCAAATTGTATATGCGCAAGTAGGAACAAGAGGCAAATGATCAAACTTTTATATGAACTGCAGGTACTCTTAGAAACCCCTCTGAGGCAAGGAGAGATTTCCATCATAGTTGAACACTTCTATTAAGGTTTTAGGGT